ATCATAGTTCTGTAACTGGGCCAGGGCTTCTAATTCTTCCTATTTGTTTCCCAGTCTTCTCGCATTGGTTGATCACCCTGCCTTCTCCATCCAAATCAGGGGTCCTCCTTGGTTGCTCGTTCCTCCTTGTGATTCTTCCCGGTGTCCGACTTCCTCACTTACCTCAGGGCTTTGGTCATCATCCCCCAGTGAACCTATTTTAAAGCCCTCCTCGCTAGGTATGCAAGCCTGCCCTTGAAAATGCTCTTTCCTCTCTTGATTAGGTGGATCCCAGCTCTTCCTAACAAACCTTGTGCCCGGAAGTGTCCCATGGTCGAAGAAACCAAGTAATGTGTCCCTAATTTGGTTCAGAAAATATGGTCCCCCTTCCCCCCCTTTTTTTTCTCAACAAAAATCCTTGGTGTTCCTTGGTCTTAAAAAGCTTAAGAAACACTGTTCTAGATGATTAACCGATAAGCTTAGGCTTATCGGTTAATCTTATCGACTACTCACATTCCTCCCCCACCCTGTATTAGAGGCAGCAAGCGGGGAGGGGGGACCAGTTCCCCCCGCCACCTGCTCGTAATGCCACCTGCCTTCCTACCCTGCTGCTGCCTCTGAAGCAGCATTGGAGCAGGCAGGGGAAGGAGGTACTGCCATGAAGCAGCCTCTGTCCGTGGGGGTCTGAGCTTCCTGTAGATGGAGTAGCCTCTGTCCTTGGGGAGCTTGGCGTCCCCCGACAGGCTGCTTTGTGGTAGCAGACTCTGTCTGCAGGGGGTCTGAGATCTCCACAGACAGTGGCTGCTTCACATGTCCCCAAGAAGCTCTTTTCTCAGGGAGCCTGGGCCTGCTGATGGGCAGAGGGTGCTTCATGGCAGCAGCCCCTGTCTGTGGGGAGCACAGATCCCCCGTAGACAGAGTTTCTCTGGGGGAAGTAAAGTAGCCTCTGTCCACGGGGAGCTGGTTTGAAACTGGCTCCCCTCCTGGCACCCCGCGCTGCTGCCTGTGATAGAGGCAGCAGCGTGGAGTGGCAGAGGGCTCCCTGGGAGTGAGGCCGGGCGCACTGACTGCCGGCCCTGCCCCTGGGACTATGGAATAGTCAAGTAACCAATGGTAATTCATGCGGGTACTCGACTATGCTATTAATCAATATCTAACATCCCTACAATCCAGTCTTGATTTATAAATTTAAAAATTAAAATATACTTACACCGACTTCGTGTGTATTATAAAATTCTCTGGTGAGTTGAAAATATAACAGTTTTTAAGAATGAGAGAAAAGAACAGAACTACACCCACAATGAAATAGATATGTCTGCCAATTATTCTTAACAAAAATACAAATCAGTAACAATTTCTTGTCTCAGAGCACAAGAGCCAAACCGAAGTGGTTAGTTGGTATTATCCATTCTTAACATGAAGCTATAAAAAGGTAGTCTCAGATAGTTTTTTTTTTTTCAGCTTTAATTTTTTTCCTTCAAAATTTAAAATAGGCTGGAATCCTATATATAGCTGAAAGAAATATTGCCAGAATATTGCAATCACAGAGCACTTGATGGATGCGTAAACTTGAGCAATATGAAGAAATGTTCACTGTGCTCAACAGTGTGAAGAAATATCTGTGCCCAAGCCGAATTGAGTGTTGTTGATTAGGGGGAAAATATTATCACCTGCACATAGATGGTGATATGCTATATCAGTGGTCTCCAACCTTTTGAAGCATGAGATCACTTTTTTTAATCCAAGATCTACCTCAAATATAAATAACCTTACCCCGCCTCCTTCTCTCCCCTTCTCCAAGGCCCCACCCCTGCTCACTCCATCCTCCTTCTCTTGCCCATCCACACTCACTTTCATCAGGCTGGGGCAGAGGGTTGGGGTACACGAGGGGATTCATGACTGAGATAGGGTTTCGAGATGTGGGCTCCAGCTGGGCACTGCTTACCTCCTGGTTGGTGGTGCAGTGGGGCTAAGGGAGGTTCACCCCTGCCCTGGCCCAAGCCCAAGCCCAGGCCCACTCCCTAAACCAGCCAGCAAACTCCATTCCAAGTCCTTTTGTGTCCCCACTCTGCTTCGGGGAAATAGGATACAAAGTGATGAGAGGAAGCAGCTTGACATCAGCACCCCTTCTCTCCCTTCCCTGCCCTGCACAGCAAGCAGGAGCTCCCAGGGGGGAGGGGCAGTTCCAAGGCAAAGGGCAGGAGATGAGCAGCAGTGAGAGGAGCGGCAGCTGAAGTGCCAGCACTTGACAGGCACTTGACTGGCCAAACCAGTCAGGATCCCCCGTCAGAGGCTCCAAGATCTGTCGGTAGATCCTGATCTACTGATTGGTGACCACTGTGCTATATAGTGAGACAAAGCAATATGCACAGTTGCCATTTTTAGAATTTTCAGTTATGCTTTTTGTATGCAGTATTCTTGCAGCTATATCGTTCCCAGGATATTAGGAAACATTTCGGCAAAGTAATGACTTTTATTAGACCAGCTTCTGGTGTTGAGAGACACAAACTTTTGAGCGTACACAACACAGAGCTTTTCTGAAATGTATTCAGAGTGTCACAGCTAAATAAAATATGAAACAAATTATTCAGCATAAGTAAGTACAGGCAGTCCCCGAGTTACGTTGATCCGACTTACATCGGATCCCTACATACGAACGAGGCTTTTCTCGCCCCGGAGGACGCGGGCGACAGGACCGCCCAGACGCACTGCGGTCCCGCCGCCCGCGTCCTCCGCCGCGAGAAAAGCCG